GAGACTCTCAATTTTACTCCCACCTCAAAAATGCTCCTGGCTACCTGGCGGAAAGCAAAAGGCTTATTCTAGCTTGAATAAAACAAAGCCTTTTCTTATACACTGAGTTTTTCAAAATGAAATTCATTTATTTAACAAATATTTACTGAGTATCTTCCACATGCCAGGCACCATGCAATATGCTGTAAACTTACTTTCTCTAATGCTCAACACTCCTGCAAAAAAAAAATCATGTCACACTTTATAAGGTACGAGACTAAGGGTCGTACTGGTTAAGCACTTTCCTAAGTCCCACCGCTGGTAAGGGAGAGTCTGGATTTAAACCAGGTCTGCCTAGCTCCAAAATCAGACTCTAATACACTGCTTACCCCACTCCTAACTCTCCACACCCCCACACACTTCCAGTCTTCCCCATCGACCCACCCCCACCCTGAGACCAGGGAGGGTCCCTCCTCTAGAGGGGGTTGGCTCAGTGAAAGAGATGGACAAGTCAACAGAGAACTCACCATACAACAAGGTAAGTGCCAGAACAGAGGCTCAAACACAGTGTTGTGGGGGCCAAGAGGAGGAAAGGAGAGCAGGGAAGTCATCTCATGGGAGGTGACAGAGGAGCTGGGTCTTAGGAATGGGCAGAGTTTCAGACACATGGTAAGCATCATGCAGCGAGTACAGTGTACAAGCAAAGAACAAAGTAAATGGGTAAATGGACAGCCACAACACATTCAGGACAGCAGGAAATTTAAAAGCAAGGAAGAACAGGACAGATGTAGCAGCAACTCAGGCAACAGGGTTGGGTTTGGGGCGAAGTGTAAAGAACTGTTTTTGCACGCCTAGCCAAAGAGTATGGACTTTATCCTGAAAAAGTAGAACCCATGGCATTTCTAAGGGAAGGGACATATTTTTCTTAAGATTGTATTCATTTATCTTTAGAGGGGAAGGGAAGGAGAGAAGGTGAGAAATATCAATGTATGGTTGCCTCTTGTGTGTCTCCTGTTGAGAACTGGCCTGCAACCCAGGCATGTGCCCTGACTGGGAATCAAATCGCGATCCCTTAGTTCACAGGCTGGCGCTCAAACCACTGAGCTACACCAGCCAGGGCGAGACATATTTTTTTAATAGAAAAATAATTTCAGCAAAGAAGATAGAATGGAGTGGGGCAAGACTGCCCATCACACTTCATTTGTTCTACATGCACAACAGCACTAGAAAGCACCTATTATGTGCCCTGCACTATCCTAAATAGGAAAATACAATAATGAATAAAATGCAGTCTCTTTTCTCAGGGCACTTATGGTCTTGTAAGAGTCAGACAAGTAAACAGGCAATTACAATACAAGATAAGGGTTAAAATAGAAGCACAGAAAAAGGGCAGTTAAGGGGGTGTGGGGTCCCAAAGGAAGTGACATTTAAACTGAGACGTGAAGGACAAAAAGGAAAGTAAACAGAAGAGAGGGGATGCATTCCAGAGCAGGACCAGCACTTACAGATGCCCAAAACTAGAATGAGGTGAGTTTACAGCGCTGTTCAGAGGCTGAATCTGGGTGAGAAATGAGGCCTAGTTTACTCAGGGGTCCTTGGCACCCAAAATGTGGTAGAAAGGATGCAAAGGGATTAGATTCGAAGCTAATACATAACAAGGGGTGTTGTGAGAAGAAAATGATTTAGACAACTAAAACAAAACAGTGAAGAGAATCAGCTCGAAATCAATCTGACTTCACCCTGCAGTTTAATCATTTGCTAAAATGTGACCCGAATCAACAAAGTCTGAGGACTTCTACCAAAACAGAAAGATGTGCTCTACAGAGGTAACGTGTCTCAGCATGCTGCCTGCAACACAAGATAAAACACACTATCCAGAGATAGGCAGCTCCTAAGTTATTGGAGGAGGGCAGCAGAGACTGACAAAAATCACGTGCACCACAACGAACAGAAGAGTTCATCACAGGGCTGGGTAGGAATTCCCAGGGAAAGCCCTAATTCCTGAACCCCCAATCCCCTGAAATCTGGTTAGACACCAGGCGTGTGCCTACTCTGATGGCAGGGTGGAGAGTCATTCACTAAGAAAAAGATGGGCCCGGAGGGTGAGTTAAAAGACAGGATGTGACTCAGAAAGAGGGGAAGAGTGAGTCTTAAATACTCTCCACCCCCCACCCCCCCCAAAAAAAGAAGAGGGCAAAGGAAAGCCAGTTTATCAAACTGGGGCACACCTGTGCCCCAAGGCAGCACAAAGGCCTCCTGCCTGACTAAAAAAAAAAAAGATGAGCACTGAGCCATGGTCTTCCTCAGCAACACAAGCCTCAGCAGAGGCACATTCACTTTCCATTTTCTTTTTAAGCTGGGAGGAGGGAACTGTTTAAAATGCCATGCATTTTTTTTTCCTGTATAGTTTGCTACTTGCTATTTTTAAAAGATGCAGCCAGACTGTCCATGAATTTAACACGATGACTGCTTCAATTGCTCATATTAGTAAACAAAGTCAGAAATGAGCTTTACACTTACATGTACATTAACACACACACATACACACACTCCATTAAGCCATGCTTAGTGTTAGTCCTAATGTTAATCTGCTCACCCAACTCAGGCCCCAGGTTTTCCAAAGGCCAAGTCAAATCACAAAGAGAGAGTCCAGATGTGGTTAACACGGCACAGAGGTCTCTATCACCACAGTTCCAGCACGGTTATTATTTCTAAGAGGAAGGAGACAGCTGTGATGAAGAGATCAGTTTCTAAACACTTTTTTTTAAAAGATTTTATTTCTTTATTTTTAGAGAGAGTGGAAGGGAGAAAGAGAGGCAGAGAAACATCAATGCATGTGAGAAACACTGCTGGTTGATGGGTTGCCTCTAAGGTCGCAACCCAGGCATGTGCCCTGACTGGGAATCGCGTAGGCAACCTTTCGGTTCACAGGCTGGTGCTCAATCCACTGAGCCACACCAGCCAGGGCTAAAACTTTTTTTAATAATCAAAAATTTTTACTACAGTATGGGTATATAACTAACCATCATTACAGAGAGATACAAATAGCCACTAGGCATATTTAATAGTTAACTTTATACTAGATCCCAAAAAAGGTGGTCAACTGCCAAGCCAGATTGCCTGGTATCAAATCCCAGATCTGCCACTTACTAGCATGGAAACTTTGAGCAACTTACTTAACCATTTTGCACCTCTATTTGCTCATCTGTAAAATGGGGATAATAGCAGTATCTAGTTCACAGCATTGTTATAAAAATTGGTTAATATATTTAAAGCACTCACAAAAGTGCCAGGCACATAAAATGTGCTCAGTAAGCACTACTGTTATTATCACCACTCAAATGCAAAGAAGATAATTCTACAGCTTCAAAGCTTCAGCAGGAAATCATTGGCATTTTAACATTACTTTAAATACATTAGAAAGCTGTACTTCCCATCTCTAACATCAGGATGGCAGCCCAAACAAGTTCAGGTCCTCCATAGAGAGACTACAAGTTCAATCATGAAGCAGAAATCAGTGCTGAGATCTAACACGAAAACAACAAATACATATCGAGGGTCAGGTACTGTTCTAAATGCATTAACATATTAACTTATTTAACCCTCATAACCCTATGAGATAGGTACTCTTACCAAACCCATTGGTTGATGAAAAAGCTGAGCCACAGAGCGCTATGTAATTTCTAAAGGTCACAGAGCTACAAATGGCAAAGCCAGGACGAGAACTACGCACCCTGGCTCCCAAGTCAGTGTTCTTAACCTGTATGTGCACTCACCACATTGTCCTTGCTGATGACAATTTCCAAGAGGACATCCACAAAGTACCCTCAGATAGAAAAGGTTCCTAACCTTCTAAGAGATCACAACCAAACGGCATCAGTGCTTCAGGTACCTGAAGGTACTGAAGCTGGCCTAGTAACAGAGATTTGCATTGGCCTATCTGGAGTCAAACATTTTGGGAGTGGGGGTGGGGAGTAGGAGCAGGAGACGGTTAGTGAGGTGTCCTTAATCAAACCTGACTTCCCAGTCCAGTCATGGAGCAGATGCCGGCCCTGAAACAGGCTTCAGTAAGAAGCCTACTTCCAACTCTGGCTTGAGTATAAGGACAGGGCATCAGAGAAAGTGAGAACCATATTCACTGCATTCTGTGGCTCGAGACCCCTTCCTTTTTCTCCAACCCCAAGTCCCCTATCTCTAAAGCCATGCTTAGTTTGGCTAATAACCTGAGTTTTTTTATGTGGTTTGATGAGAATACAAAAGAGAAACAAGCTACCAAAAAAGAGAAGGGCAAGTTCTACAGTCCTTTGCTTCCATCACCACATTGGTCCAGACTGTAAAGCAGTTCTCAGATACCACGGGTCTCGACAGTTATGTAATAAACATTCTTAGAGCTTTACACCAGTCAGCCTGACCTCTTACCATACATCAAACTGGATTTTGTCTCCCTAATCCCAAACTGCCTTTCTTCCTCCTCTGACCCAACCTATCACCAAATCCACATCCCCAAGAACACTAAGGAGCCCTTCTTACCAAAAGAAAAGATCAAAAAAAGTAGAAATGCTACAAGAGTGAATTCAGGAGTTGGTGACAGTAGGTTCTTAAATGGTTAGTGAATACCATCAGAAATTTGTTTTCTCCTGACTCCCCACCATTTGTCACCCACAAATCTCCACTTCAGGCAGGATGCCAAACTGCAACTGTGATGGGAGACTGAAGAAGATACAGTGAACATGTAGGAAACTGCTTGTGACAGGGATGTGTTAAATATTTTCAGCCTCATCCCTAGGCCCTTGCCCATGTTCGCTTGCTTAAATGGCTAAAGGTACACGAGGCTCAATTCTACATCCAACTCTCAAAAACCACCGTGCAATCTAAGCAGAACACTAATTTAGGGACCACAGGCAAAGGGCAATGTCTATAAAAGAGCGCCCTCCTCAGATTAAATGATTCTCAGCATCATTCAGAACCCATGCATCCTGCTTCCAGGGTGCATGACAGCCTGTCAAAGGAGGCCACCTTACCCGCTCTGGGGTTGGGCTTGGGCAAGTTGCTACCTCTTCTTCCAAGAAGGCACTGTGATTCCTCCAGTCCCTGGGGCCCCTGAGTCTTCAGCTGAAATTGGGGCAGATGCTTCTATAAGAACTGTGGAAAGGCTGATTTAAGTGCGGAAGAGATTCATTGACTGGCTTTAGTTCCTTCCTTACCAAACCTACCCATCATACTCCAGGTTTCTCTTTCTGCTTCCCCACTATGCTCCTCCACAGGAAAGACCCCATTCCTCTCCCACCAGCATGGTACAGTCGCACATGCTCCAGGCTTCTTTAATCTCGGTTAAAAATAATTCCCCTCCAATTCGTGAGTCAGCTTCTCCAGGGCCTGCACATCTACCTCTGGTACCCTGCTTTGGACCCCTCCCCCAGGGCTGCCATTAGATCCTAGGGCCCCTCCCTTCCCACCCACTCTCCCTTTTTCTTTCTCCCCTGAACTTTCCCCCATTCCATTTCCTTTTCTAAACTCCGGAACTAGACCCTCCTCCGCCCCTACTCCATGTTAGTGTTCTCACAATTTCTTCCCCAAACCCCAGCCTCCCCGCCAACTACTCCCATCCCACAACAAACTTTCTTCCGTTGCCCGTAGCCTTCAGACCGCCATCTTGTCGCGGGGCAGGCCGGGTAGTGGCCACGGCTTCAGGAATCCCCACGCTCTACGCGCCGTGCGTCATCGGGGGCGTGTCATGGGGCGTGGTCTCATGCTGGGAGCAGGATGGGGGAAAGATGGGTGTGTCCTAAAAGCGGCCGGCTGCGGGAGCTGGAAGGAGGTGTAGGAGTAAGGCGATAGCGGGAAGGATGGGGAGAGATTCTGGTACTCAAAAAAAAAAAAAAAAAAAAGAAAAGAAAAGAAAGAAAGAAAGAGTAGGGGAAAACAGCATAAAAATATGGCGGGAATGTCTTAGCACTAGTTCCCCATCATCCAAAGAAGAAAAGTAGCTTCTCACGCAGAGATCCGCAGGATCCAGCCTCTTACATGTTCGCCAGCTTAATTTTCCACTTCTTCCGGGGACTACAGGTTCCCAACTGTCCTGTGTATTCGTTCAGGTCTTAAAATGCCCAAGCCCTGTTCTCCTTCAACCCTCAGCTCAAACTGTCACCTCCTCCGGAAATTCTTCTCCAATCCCCCTGCATTTGGTGCTCCTTTTGCACTTGCACATAACTTCATTGTAGCTAACTTGTGCTGTCATTATTCATGTACATGCTGTATCCCTCACTAAGCTGACGCTCCCACAAGGCAGATTCTGTGTGACTGCATCTTCATATTCCTTATTTCCCAGAAGGTGCCTGGCACACAATAATTGCTTAACGAATAAATAGCATGGTATCCTCTAATGCACTGGGCATAATTCTGCCTCAGGGCTTTTAGCTTTGCTCTTCCCTGTGCCTGGAATGTTATTCCTCCAGATATTTACTCCCATGCATGACTTGCTCATATGTCACTGCCTCAGGGAAGCCTTCCCTGGTCACTCTATCTAAAACAGCATCCTCAGCCACTCTTTCTTACCTTTCCTTAATTTTTTTTGCTTCATAGCACTTATTGTTATCTGACATATTAAATATGTCTTTGTTTATTGACCATTTTCCATTATAATGTGAACCCCAAAAGTCTGGGACTTTTTCTCACTCATCACTGTAGCCCCAGTGTCTAAAACAATTCCTAGCACAGTAGGTATTCAATAAATGTTTATTGAATTAGTAAATATCATGGAGATTAGTGATAGAGGGATTTTGGGATATAGAAGTAGAAAGGAGAGATTAAAAATACTACAAAATAGGCCAGGTAGCTTAGTTGGTTAGAGCACTGTCTGGATACACCAAAGTTGTGGCCTTATTTTCTGGTCAGGCACATGCAAGAGTCAATCAGTGAATACATGAATAAGTGGACCAAGAAATCTATATCTTTGTCTCTGCCTCTGTCTGTCTGTCTCTCTCAAAAATCAGTGAAAAAAAAGAAAGAAATACTACAGCATAAAATGTATTACAGGCTTTCAAGATCAGATTTGTCCCTATCAGTAATAGTAGCAAAGACAGAAGCCAGGCTCAGAAAAGAAAGGAGTGGAATGAGAACCAGGTGGAACTTGGGAGGTGGGTCCTCAGGGAGCAGAGTCCTCCTGGGAAAGCCACAGTTTAGGCAGAGGAAATGGCGTGGGCTGGAGGCCGAGGAGTTTACTCAGATCTAAAGACAACATCCACCCCGAGCCCAGGCCTCTCTTGGCCAGATGGTTCCGGAGGCGCCTCAGCATCTGTTCCTCGGTAAATTATCCAGTGCTCCCTCCCGCCTGTCCTCTCTGGTGACAGCCGGAACAATTGTCCAGGAATTCCATCTGTTCCCCTGTCCTTCTTCCTTCCACTGCTCATGAACATTTCAGAGCAGAGAGGTGTCCCATTTCCCTGGGCCAAGGGAACAGGAGATGGGTCTGTCCCTTGGTAGAGCTGGCCTCAAGAACTCATTCCACCAACACACAAAAAACCTTTGCAGGTACTCCCCAGAGGGACAGGTCAGTCATCTTTATTTCCCATCCTCTCCACGCTTTCAATCCCATACAAATTTTTATTATTGTTAATTTAATAAAATTTCACTAAGTGAATCAATCATACTGGTTTAAGCTCTTGCAGAGCTTAAAATAAGGTCTAATCATTATACGTTTCTGCGTGGTTCCTCTTAATTTGCCAGTACAATACCTCCAAAATGTGAAATTCAGCCCTGACTGGTGTGGCCAAGTGGGTTGGGGATCATCCTGAAGACCCAAAGGTCCTAGACGCTGATTCCTGGTCAGGGCACATGCCTGGCCAGGTCCTCTGTTGGGGCTGGAGGCCTGCTAGAGGCAAAGGATGTATGTTTCTCTCCCTCTCTTTCTCCTTCCCTTCCCCTCTCTCTAAACTAATAAATAAATAAATAAATCTTTTAAAAAAGACCACAAACTCAGATTTTTTGAAATAAGACTTTTACTTCTTACTAAAGGGAGTCTGCCTGAAAGAGAAAATGCAGAAGCAGAGTTCCTCTTAGGGCTGACCCCTAGACCTCCTCCTCTGTACCTTTTCCGAATTTGTTTTGTGATCCACAGAGGGAGCCACAGAGAGAAGGAGGCCCATGAACTGTCAGGTAAACAAACTTATGGTATATAAATTTGAAAAGTGATTCAAGTTCATATTTTGTAAAAAGGGAAAGTATCAGTAAACATAAACATGCCTTTGAAAAGAAAAAAAGTCACAGTCCTCCGGAATTTTGAACTTTTAAAATATGTGAGATAAAGATCTTTTTACTGGGGAGAGACTAGTTTACCTCATCACTCCCTCTGTAGATGCATGTGTACCTGTATATTCCTTAGACCACAATTACATAATTATTTACCATCCCTGCAAGACAACTGGAAGGTGGTGAAGACTAAAGACCTCTTTTAGGCTTTCAGGGTTTCGTGAAGTAACTGCAATTTGCAAAATAGGCTCACTGCATTTTGATAGCCATTTTCATGTGGTTGTGCCTTGTGTCCACAGGGCTGCAGTGGCCGCAGGGCCCACCTGCACAAGCATGGTCAAGTGCTTCCCAGGACACAATCCATCCAGACTGAAGATAGTTCTTTCTCCTGATTTTATTTCTGTAGACCTAGTTTCCCAGCTGGAATGGAGGCGGCGGCGTGCGTGGAGTCCAGAGCCTTGAAATAGAAGTGGGTTCTGGACAAAGATAGAACTTTGAGCTCCAGGTATTGGAGAAAACTGCTAAAGAGTTGAAATCATCCTAGACTCAACCCCATAGTCCTCTGAACTGTTCATCATGACAGCGAGAAGGGCCGTGAAGCCATATGCAATGTTTATGGTTGCAATTGACATTGTCTACTTATAGTTTGAAACCAGGAGGCTGCCTATATTCTTACTCGTGACTCTGATTGGACACGCTGAACCCTAGTTACATGGTTGTTTTGACAATGATTTCAAAACTTCAAGAGGCGATAACTTAGTCTGCTTCCGCAGATTTAAGTTATACACATCTCCTGATTCTTCTGTCTATTAATAGAAGCCCACAGCTGCCACCCTGGGGGATAAACTTATATTATGTGTAAATGTCTTTCTCCTAACTTGGTATGTTGGATTTGATGGGAGCCCAAGAAACGCAATTTTACTTTGTTTTTTTTATATTTATCCTCACCAGAGGACATATTTTATTGCTTTTTAGAGAGGGAGGGAGGGAGAGAGAGAAACATCATCTCTCCTGTGAGAGAGAAGGATCGATTGTACATGCCTGGACTGGGGACCATAGGCAGCCATACTGGGGACTGAACCTACAACCTAAGTATGTGCCTGACCAGGAATTGAATCTGCAACCTTTTGGTTATAGGACAATATTCCAACCAACCTGAGCCACACCAGCCAGGGCAAGAAATGCAATTTTAAAGACCTCGAAAGTTGGTGGGGTCTCTCATTCTTTAATATTCTTAAAACCACTTAACCCTTAGAAGATAATGAAGGCAGAAACTCAGGCAAGTGAACGCCCATATGTACACCGATATGTGCAACAATACTATTCATAGCCAAAGAGAAGAAGCCACCCAAGTGTCCGTTGCCAGATGAATGGGTAAACATAATGTGGTGTATACACACAATGGAATATTTTTTAGCCATAAAAAGGAGGGAAATTCTGACACATGCTACAACATGGATGAACCTTGAGGACATTATGCTGAGTTCAATAAGCCAATCACGAAAGGAAAAATACTATGTGATCTCATCGATATGAGATACCTGGTGCAGTCAAATTCACAGAAACACAACATGGAGGGGTGGTTGCCAGGTGCTGGTGGAAGCAAAGACAGGGAGTTGTGTTCAGTAGGGGCAGGGTTTCAGTTTAGGAGAAGGAAAAAGGTCTGGAGCTAGAGAGTGGCGATGGTCGTCCACGTTAATGCCGCTGAACTGTACACTTAAAATGGTTAAAATGGTAAACATTACCCACAATAAAAAAAATATTTCCTGAAAAAAGTACTTAAAATATACATCCCATACATCTTTAAATGATTCCAAGTCTTGTTTTCTGGCTTCTGGTAGGGTCCTGCCTCTCCCAACTCTGAGGCTGGGACTCCCTGAGGACAGGCCTGTCTCCCCTCTCAGAGTTTGGGCTCCCTGAGGTGAAAACCTGTGCCTCCTCTCTCAGACTTTGATTCTTCATCCTGGGGACGCTTGGAAAACACCAAAGAAACAATTCATCTCCCCGTTCCAGACCACCCTGGGACTCATTCGTCAGGTCCTGTTTCACTCTGACCCAGTAGAGACTAGGCAGGTCTGTGGTCCCAAGTCTCTTTGCTGAATTGGGAGGGCTTCCCTCCATCCCGGGTGATTATCTGAAATTTGGCCTTGAATGTAATAGACCAAGTAATTGTTTATACATAAAAGGTTAACAGAGGAGGTTCAGCTTCCAGAAGCTTCAAGTAAACCTTGGGGATGGCTCCTTTAGCCACTGCTGGAGAGGCTGGAACCTGCCTGTGCTGTGGCTGCCTCCCCACCTCCTCACGGGCATGGGTGGAGCCAGGGTGGCAGGGGCTTCACAAGCGTGTGAGGCATGTGAAATCTTGGTACTGCTTGTGTTTTACACTCATAATGCTGGAGAGGGTGAGCCCCTCATCCTTCCAGGCCTGTGCACATGT